TTTTTTGGGACTCCGAAAGGTAGTTTTTGAGCTCAGTGAGTGATATACCCGGCTGGATATCTGGAACCTGAAGGGAGGTACAACGGCCCCGGGGGGGGAAAAAAAACGAATCATGTTTTTATAGAGAAGATGAGCATGCATGCATGGCCTCTGCGCAAGGATAGCACTCATAGCTGGAGAAATGGTCAAAACGCACACACACGCACGAACACACACACACACACACACACACACACACACACACACACACACACAACACACACACAGTCATGCTTTTTTTGAGTGCATAGCGAATATGACGACACACAACACACACACACACACATACACACAACACACACACACACACACACACACACACACACACACAACACACACACAGGCGATGTTGTCAGATTTGTAGACGAGGCACTCGGGTCTTGAGGCCGAGGTCACGCGTTCGAATCCGTGCTTGCAAGGAGGAGGGCCTTGGGCCCAGATGTAAGGACCGATAAGTACTCAGCTTGCCGGATTCCAAGGACGAGAACGAGGAGGGAGGAGAGGGTGTAGGAGGAGAGGGGGAGGGAGGAGAGGGGAGGGCGCGGCGAGCAGGAGAGCATACCTAGGGGTAGAGGATCGAAAGGCACGTAGGTGGGCGGCTAGTCACCGACGTCGACACTGAGCAAAAAAAAGAGTTCCCAAACACTTGGTAATGGTCACTAAAAGCAATTGTGGAACGCGACTGTGTATTATCCTCTCCACTTTCAAGGAGTTCCGGAATGGTACAGACCTTTTTTTTTTTTTTTTTTTTTTTTTTTTTTGGGTACTCCCATGGCTGAAAAGGCGTGCATAGGATGTGTGGTAATAAAAAGAGCTGAGTTTCTTGTAAATAAAATAAAATAATAAAAGAAGCCATGCATAGGACCCTCCCCCGCCGAGTGAAGACGGGTGGTTGTGAGCACAGAGGGTGAAAATTGTAGGTAGGGTAGTGTGGACAAGTGCAGGGATAGGTATGTGATGCTTTTTTTTTTTTTTTTTTTTTGGCTGTTCGTTCTATTTTTCTTGAAGCTAGCTAGCAGCAAGTATTGTGTATTCTTGTGTCTAGTTCTGTGCCTTTTTTGGGGGGCGCAAGAGAATATCGGAGCAGCGGCCTGGTTCTGGCCGTTTACAGTTAATTTCTGTTTGCGCAGTTATACGTGCAGTGGAGCCTGAACTGAAGATTGGTAGTGCTCCCAGTCCTTGTGCTCTCTACGGGTTGTTTGTGAGGATTCCCGGCCTCGTCCTTATATCACCATGAACTGCTCTTTTTTTCTTTCTTCTATTCTCTGTACACAAAAAGAAAACAAGGAAAAGCCATATGCCTAACGCCGTTCCGGGCTGAAGGTTCGTCCTCTGTGTGTGTGTGTGTGTGTGTGTGTGTGTGTGTGTGTGTGTGTGTGTGTGTTCATTCCTTAAACACAATTCCATGCAAAGAAAGTGGTGGATGTGACAGACTGTGTCTTCAGGCTGCTTCTTTTTTTTTTGACCGTCTCGTCAGGAGTGTTCTTTTGCTTTTTTTTTTTCGGGGTGTGTGTCTCTGTGTGTTTGCGTACGCACTTGTGTGTTTGTGTTATGGTTGGATGCTTATGCGTTTGTATTTTTGCACACTCTGCATGCATGCATGACTGTTTCTGCAGATGGGCAAACTTGGTGCTAGATGATGCTCTTGCTCGCTCTTTAGTCAGTACGTTCGACATGTATGCTATGCGGTTCGATGGAAGCTCTCCTGCTCCTAGCAAAGAATGTGTGTGGCGATGTCATCGACAACCCCATTCCCCTATTATACCATCACAGTCTCTTTTCTTGGTTGAAGTACAGATCACAAAGAAAGGAATGCTGGAATTCTCCCCTTCTCTCCATCGCTTCAAATGGTTCTCAAGTGAGCTTGTAAGTAAAGATCATTCTTGTTCCTTTCCCTGCCTCCCTCTCTCTCTCTCTCTCTCTCTCTCTCTCTCTCTCTCTCTCTCTCTCTCTCTCTCTTTTTTTTTTTTTTTCTCTTTTTCT